CACACACACACACACACACACACACACACACACACACACACACACACACACAGTCATGCCAAGCTTGAAATGATTGACTTGATGTGCCTTTGATGATTTGTCCCAGTGAGATGCATCTTCTTTGTGAAATGTCAGCTTCAAACCAAGATTAAACAGAATTGCTAAAGAAAGATGATAGGGACTGTGTGTGTGCGTGTGTGCGTGCGTGTGTGTGTGTTTTCTGTAATATCATAAACTCATCGTGGTTCTTAATGCAGCTTTCCTAAAGCTCTTGGTTTGAGTTTTTTTGTGCTGTACAGTTGATTTATTCACCATAAATCAAGCTGTCATTGTTTGGAACACAAATATCCTTAAAGGGGCAGTATCATGTAAAATATACTTTTTTTGAGTTTTATATCATGTTATGTTCTTATGTTCATAAAAAAACGTGCCCAAAGCCTTGCTTTGACTCATTCATGCATGTTTGAGAAATCCTGCAGCGTTTTTCATGCATGTTTGAGAAATCCTGCAGCGTTTTTAGGCAGCCATGCTGAGGAGCAAAACGACAGGTGGGGACCAGAAACGCCTTTTGGTACTAGAAACGCCCCTGGGACGTGTCTTTAAGCTGAGCTTCCTCATGGCAGAGCGCACCCCACCCATGACTCCTGCAGGCTCTCCAGTGAAAGTGAAAGTGAAACTGAAACTGTCTGCTGAGCTCTCAACATTAGTTCTCACTCAGTGAAGCTCTGTATTCGGAGCCCATGAGGGGACATGGGGGGATTTTTTTTCTTTTGCATTCCCTCACAATACTTTTGCGTTCCCACGCAAAAAATTGTTTTGTACATGAACTGAATTAAATCAGACTTTTATTTTGAAATATCCGGTTACCAAAACAGGATGTGTCGCCACAAGTTCATGAAATTGACACTGATGTTGTGTGGCTGCCCTGTGTTAAAATATCGGCATATGACATACTTCCATGCGTGGCTGTGTGATATATTCATTCTGAAGCTGAATTAAAGTAGTAGGCTAACTCGCTAATGGTGAGCAGGTGAATTTGTTAAACTGGCAGGCACAACAGTGYTAAACCACTTTTGCGAGGGAGCGCAAAAGGTATTGCGGGGTAACGCAATACTTTTGCGTGGGAACGCAAAAAGAAAAAAAAATACCCCATGTCCCCTCGCGGGCTCCGTACTTTTCAGATTCAAAATACCTTTGAGGAAATGTATTTTCAGATGCCAAGTAAACTGCATCATAGCAGACCGCCCCCTTGCGAGCCCCCCCCCCCACACACACACACACACA